GTAATGCATAGTTTAATGCCTTAGCTTAACATGTTTTCCTTTTCATTCATCCTTTTCTGTATATTTTTTCCCAATACTTGTATTATGCATTCAGAAATGAGCTGTCCCTTGCCGTGATTTGCTAAATGTCATGTTTATCTCAAAAACAGTTTCTGTACAGCCTTTTTTTCTGAAAATAATTTCAGTCCTTTCAATACATTTCAAAGACATCTGTAGTTTTCTGTACTGCTGTGCCTTACATACAAAACTCAACTTCACATCATGCATTTAAACACTCACTCCAACAAATGCACAGCACCCTGTAACAGTAACCTCTCTTTATCACTCTTCTGAATTGAATTTTCAGAATTTTGGATGAAAAAGAAAAAAAATGTTTTAAAGTCGAGTAATTTAAAACATAGTAATCTGTCTACACTTCACTTCCTGTGGTGAGAACATGCCGTCTCATGTTGAAGAAGTATCTGAGAGGCAATGCAAATGGACTTAATGCAGTGCTGCATCTCTTTTGTGCTTTGAACCCCTGTGGTAGAGTAATATGCTCTTCTAGTGCACAAATAGCCCCAACAGAGCTGTGTGATCCACAAGATCTTCTGAATCATAACCTTCTGTCAGGTAAAATACAATTTAGTTGCTGAAACATTGTGATAGAAAGAGACTAGACTGCAGGGTGCAAAATAACAGTTTATTTGAACAACATGTGCAGATCCAGTATGTCACTGTTGCACGTTTGATGGATACAATGTAGAAATGCGCTATTGCAGTTTTAAAAGCAAGACTACTCTATTACAACCACAAGAAATTCACAAAATGCACTATTGTGACTACAACAGTCCAAAAAATGCACTATTACAGCCCACAGGCAGTTCATGACAGGCCACAGATCACTCACAAAACTCACTATTACTGCCCATAAGCAATTCACAACAACTCCCAGGCAACTCACAAAATTCACTATTACAATTCCCAGACGATTCATGGAACACACTATCACAGCTCCCAAACGAATCAGAATACCGCACATGTGTTAGTCAATCACCTGCAACTACAAACTTAAAGCCTGCCAAATATTCGCTTACCCTTCCAGGTAAGGGCTCACAGTAAGTTACCTTGGCCCGACCAAGGGGGAGGGTTCTCATCACTCCATGCCTGGAGAAGTAGCTTCCCATTTCTAGCATGAATCTTAGGGTTTTTATTTCCTGATGTACACGACAGCAGGCAGGAGTGTGCCTGAGTGGATTGTACCACCTGGGGTGTTTGTCTTTAGCAGTGTTTCCCCTTATCTTTAGTTATTCTTGGGTGATGTCCCCTTCTGTATGCTCTATCTTTGGCATTTCTTTGTACTGTCTGGTCCCTTGGTGCCAGAAATCCTCTGACTTACCTTTGTCTTACTTTTAGGCAACTGAATAGTGGTTTGTTTGGGACTCAGGGCATATCAATTGCTGGGGGATGTCAAGGCTCAACTCAGGTTTTCAGTTCTTTCAGTGATGCAGCACTGCCCTGTTTAGTTTTGTGCTTACCAGACAACTCAAGGTTAAGCCAACTACACAGGTCCCCATGGGCTGCAGAGACAGAGCCTGAAGGCAATCCAAGGCTGAGTTGCTCTTGTAACCCCCCCACAAGTTGTCTGATGCAAACCTGTTGCCTTACAAGCATAGGCTACCATTGCTCTTATAGATTCTTTAGGGCATCCAACACACCTACATGGGGCTGTTCATGCAGCACAAGGCTTGTGGGAGATGGGTCCCTTTCTGAAGTGGCAGCTGGAAATGACAGCATAGAGTACTTGATTCCAGGTTGTCATGGTTATTTTCTGTGACTAGTTCTTTCTTACATGGAATTGGAGCTTACTAGCTTTTGTCCTGTGCATCATCACAGAATCACAGAATCGCTCGGTTGGAAAAGACCTCCGAGATCATCGCGTCCAACCGCTCCTGTCTACCCCCTAAACCATATCCCTAAGTACCTCGTCTACCTGCTCTTTAAATACATCCGGGGATGGTGACTCCACCACCTCCCTGGGCAGCCTGTTCCAGCCTCTGACGACCCTCTCAGTAAAGAACTTCCTCCTTACCTCTAACCTGAAGAGAAGTGAAGGTGGAAGATAATTTATTCCTTCATTTTTGCATCAGTGATTTCAGGATTATAGTTGTAGTCATACAGGGGGTATAGGTCTTGGTGGAACCCGATCCAATGCTCATCTTGTTTTTTAATGAGCGTTACTGGTAAATTTTGAGTCCATTTTAACCAAGACTTGACTTGCGTTAATATTACATCTCTAGCATCTCTTTACACAAATGTCTCATGATACAAGTCCACAGTTTTTTCGTAAGACATTCAGTCTAAGACAGAGATCTAAATGCAGGTGTCCACATATGAACTAGGTGTCTATGTTTTATTACAGTTAAGAGAATTCTAAGTTGTGAATCTGTTGCCTAAACATAGATGTCTACTGCCACTTCAGACCCGTCAAAATATCTGAGACTGGCAGAGGTGACACAAGATTCATGGAAGATCTATGTCTTTCTTGACCCCACTGGCATAATTTCCTGCAAACCTGTTTATAGCTGAAGTCCATTTTTTAGTTTTGTTCCTGCTGTACAGAACTGGATTTTAACAGGTAAAATACCTGTTGGACACAAAATCCAGTTGACCATTAAGCAGGCTGTTATCTAAGAAACACAGAACATGCTGATGTTCTTGAACCAACAGACAAATCACTCCAAATCCATGGCAGAATAGACAGAGGAAAAGCAACCTGATAGACCAGCTAGGCTGTGACTTCATTTAACTCTCTAGTTATAAGAATTCCTTCAATTTCTTATTCTTTATCATAAACTAGGGATGGGAGTCAGACAGCACCGCAGTTTCCAAGATCCTCTCTAGGATCTTTCTGCAAATGAGGAGCATAAGTGTTTATTTGAGATGGAAGAACTAAGCAATGAGAACTGAGCAAGACAATTTCATATCACATCCAGTTCAAAGGCTTCCTTATGTTGTCTTTTCTCAGAAGACACCAGACAGATATAAATTCCAGCATCAGAGACTTGGATGTCTTTCAGCAGTAAAGAAAAGATCCCTTTGCTTGGTGTCCATTGAAGAAGCTCTTTTTGAGCCCAGTACCTTTTGTTTTGAATCGTTTTCCCAGTTCTTTTATTGTAGGAGACAATCTGTATCAGTTCTGAGGGTCTGGAAAGGAACCACTCAGTAGAAATGTTTGCCCAAATGCCAGTGGCTGGCAGCCTGCAGTCCATGAGCACATCATCTCCAACAGCTCCAGCAACATACGTGGAAGTGAGAACGCTTGGAATAGCAACTGCACACAAAATAGAAAAAAAGACCTGTCAAGCCACAGTGATCCTGAAAAATACATGAAGCTGTACAGGAGATGAACTAATTTCTTGCCTAGAGAAGTCTCAAGTTCTGTCAGTACAAACACATTACCACAAGAGAAGTAACAATGTCACATTTTCAGTCTTCAGTTATTGTCAGACTTGTATTCTAAGTAAGAAGACCTCAGTTGTCACTCTGCTTGCCAACTCAATATATGGTTTTGTATCTTGGCCAACACCATGTAGTTATATTCCTCTTTGGAAAGTATATAAACCTTCAGGTAACTAAGTTGTTTAACCAAATTTGCACTTCCTGACAGCTAGTTCATGGAAACTGCTTATAGGCATGCTCTTACTACCAGACTGGTATAGTATAGACATTTAAGTATCATGGCCTTCCTACTCCTCCATGTTGGTATCCTCCACCTATTCACAGCTATCATTTCTTAACCGGTGTGTAACCAAGGGCAATGTAGCTCTGAATGAGCAGTGATAATTGATCTCCTCATCCAAGTCACAGCAGCATGCTTAAAATGTCTAACTATGTTGGCAGCTTCTTTGAGCAACAACTTTTCCCCCTCAAAATTCACTCCCACTGCCAGTCCATCAGCCGTGGGCCTCTATACAAACCCTTACACTTCTCATGAAAGGAGATATTATACTGACCTGTCACTTCCAGTTCAATGGCCACCTGATCATGCCATTTTCCTGCCATTACACTGCAAATGTATTTCCCTTTGTCAGGAATCTGGACGTTCTTCAGTTTTAGGGAGAAGTTGCCTGTGCTCCACTGGCTGAGGAAGAGCTCTGTGCCTCCTTCCCAGCTTCTCTCCTCTAGCCAGCTATCTTTGACTGCTTCATCATAGGAAATCTCCTTCAATGTCCTGAAATGTCGTAGAGCAATCCACTGAACCTTGATGCTCCTAGGAAAAACGGTGAGTGACAACTGGCAAGGCAGAATGACATCTTCCCCAATGAAGCCAATGATTGGGTTGTTTGGAGGGAGGATGTGGAACTGACCTGTTTGAAGACAGCAACATTTAGAGGAACTGTTCAAGGAGACTGGAGAGGGCATCCAAGTCCCTCAGGCAGGGGAAAGGAGCTTCTTCTACAAATGTCCTCCAAAAGCTGGAGGTTTCTGGGCTGCGGCCCTTAGAGGTGTTTGAGTGTGACAATATAGAGACAATGAGTGTATTCAAAAAACAAACACAAGGCATATCCATACCATGCAGTGGAGTGAAGTGCAGAAACACTGAGGCTGATCCACTGAGCTATGCAGTGAGACAAGGCTGATCAGACCAAAAACACTTCAGTAGTGAGTAGCAGGTGAACACAACAATGGCATGTAAATCTACTCTGCCTTTGTGAATGCCTTGTAGGCACTGAGTAGCTGAAGATGTTCATGTTCCAGACCAGTACAAAATCATGTCTCTTTTCTATCTGTTCTGCTCCCAGTGGTTCTGGTGATGTTTGTCTTTTGTCTGGTCCTTCAAGAGTCCCATACTCAGGCAAGACACGGTTCACATGAACTCAAAAAATATCTCACTGACCTGTCACATCCAGCTCCACCACAGTCTCATCATGCCAGCTCTCAGAGTCCAGGCTGCAGATGTATTCGCCTTTGTCAGTGTACGTGAGGTTTTTCAGCACTAGAGACAAATTGCCATGATTTAATTCAACAGAAGAGAGCTCTGTTCGGCCCTTATACCTCTCACCTCTCATTTCTGACTTGGTTCTCCCATTACAGAAAACCTCGTGGATTAATTCTGAAGAGTGAAGCAACTTCCACTGCACTACAAATTTTCCTGTAAAATTAGTAAAAAACAGGCAGGGCAAGAGAATATCTCTTCCAATTACTCCAATAACAGGAGATGTCAAAGGCAAGCTTCTGTATGGAGCTGTCAAGACAGAGAGAAAATGTTTTTATATGCTTAGGAGATCAGGATTCAGTAGAAAGACAGAGATAAGCACTTCTATAGAGCATGTCAAGTTCAGTGTCATAGTCTTCAGCCCCTGAACAAGTCTGCATCACATAAAACACCTGAAGTGGCCTTAGAAGTAGACCTTTATCTGTAGGCAACCAAAATTACTCCCAGGTGTGCTCTGAACAGCCCTTGAGGCTCAACTGTCTGTATCAACCAGATTTCTGCCAGCTACCATGGAAGCCTGGGCACTGCTTAAATTGAGATGTAGTAACTGTAACCAAATCTCACCCTCGTTCAGGAGAAGAGAAATCCTTCTTTGTCTCCACTGATTTTATTGGTTACATCTCCACTGGTCATAGAATGTAAAATTGTAGTTAAAAGTCAGATGAATACTCCACTGGACAGCTCACTTCGATGCTGATGTCCAGAAACCCTATCTGGCTTTGCCCTTCCCTGGGAACAAATTAATCTTTGTGTATTCTTTTCCACATGCACTTCTAAGAAGGAGATACAAGCAGTTGGAGATAATGTGCCCGAACTTCCTGCCTATAATAATTTTTTATCATATTTTTTGATTGATTTTCAAACTCTGGTTGTATTTCATATGGGCAGTCAACTTACTGTCTGAACTAATGTTCCAGTCAACCCATTTTCCCATCCGTGTAGGAATGGAAAGAGGCATCTTGAATGATAACTTTTTTTTTCCTGGCATTCACCTTATCATGGCATGGAGAGACTACTTTCATCTCACCTACAAACAATGATACCCAGGCACTGACCTGTCACATCCAGTTCCACGTAGGTTTCCCTATGCCAATTGGAATAGGAGACCTTGCAGATGTATTTCCCTTTGTCAAAGACTTGGATGTTCCTAAGCTTCAAGGAGAGGTTTCCCCTCCTCACCTGGGATGTGAAAAATGCAGTTCGACCCTCATAGCTCTTTCCTTGCCTTTCCACCTCACTTTTTCCATCAAAGGAGATAACTTCTATTCTATTCATGGCTCTAAGAAGGATCCATTGCACAGTGAGGCTGACAGGGATGCTAGGGGCAGACATGTAGCAAGGCAGGATGGCATCTTCTCCAACAGCCTGGATAACATTGTCAGGAGAATGGACTGTAAACTGACCTGAGAAAAACAGATGCACACATATTATGAGTTATTGCTAATTCTGTGTGGAAATTTGCTTAGAAAGAAGCATTTTTCAACAAAGCTTCCACTATTTCTGCCACAAACACCTTAGACCAGGGGTTAGAGGTTGTTCTTTGTGATATATCCAGTGGCACAGAAACTTTTCACCATGCAGATGCACACACTTAAGTGATATTTAACTTCAAATTCAGACACCTGAGCTTGGGTCTCTGCAGGGGGATGCACATGCACTGGGAACTAGAACAGATTTCCTAAGCTTTGGCACTTGGTATCACTGGAGTCATCCTAGTAGAACTACAAGATCCTCATGGACTAAAGGAGATTATATCAAGTCCATTTAAACAATGCAAGTACTTCAAGTGGCACATTTCACCTTATGGTAAGATTTCTAGAATATGGAATATAGCAGAATGTAGTATATGTCATCCATATAGACGAGTACCTCCACTACGAGGACTGACTGAGAGAGTTGGGGCTGTTCAGTCTAAAGAAGAGAAAGCTCCAGGGGGATCTCATCGTGGCTTTCCAGTTTCTGAAAGGGTCCTATAGGAAAGCTGGGAAGGCACTTTTTACAAGGGCAGGTAAAAATAGAACGAGGGGGAATGGTTTTAAACTGGAAGAGGCTAGATTTAGACTAGATATTAGGAAGAAATTCTGTACTGTGAGGGTGGTGAGACACTGGAACAGGTGGCCCAGGGAAGTTGTGGATGCCCTTTCCATGGAAGTGTTCAAGGCCAAGTTGGACAGGGCTTTGGGCAAGCTGGTCTGGTGGGAGGTGTCCCTCCCCATGGCAGGGGGGTTGGACTAGTTGATCTTTAAGGTCCCTTCCCACCCAAACCATTCTATGATTCTATGATTCTATGATTCTGTGATTCTATGATTAATCAATAAACTTACTTCTGAGCTTAATTAGGCAGGTAACTTCCTATACAATAAGCCATATTTTCCAGAGCTTGGAAGTTTACAATTTTTGCTGTCTGTATATATGTATATGTACGTACATAAATATTAAAAAAATCTTTGCAAATGACTTGTTTTTTATAACCCTATGGCATAAATTCTGCTTACCACTAGCTTTCTGAAGTCTGTGCAGAACAAGCAGGATATGTATCATTGCCTGCCACGTGATGAAGGAAGCCATCGCTCAGGAGTGGCAGAAGTTCAGACTCTCCAGACAATTGCACAACAGCCAGACTTCCCTAAATGAAAAGCAGGAGGTGAAAGCAGGAAGTTTAGATATTAGCTTAGCTTATTAGAAAGAGCATGAAGACTCTTCTGAGAAGAGTTATCTGAATTGTTACAACACCTGAGACCAGGAACAAGCTGTGTCTTTACTGGACCAGTCACTGTGTGTAACAGAGCTGACTTCCATTCAATGAACATTAATGCCACTTAAACGACCTAAATGCCATGGAATATGAACCCATCAGTGAATCTAATTTCTTGCAAGCAAATCGTGATGCTGTATATTCTTTCCCCTCAAGGGGAAAAATCTTTACATACATTTGCTTTTATCTAATGTTCATCAGGAAGACATAAAAATGAGGAGAGAAGGATGGCGGAAGCGTTTTGTTCAAAGTACAATGACATTAATGAGTGAGATGGTTTTACGGAACAGGATGTTTAGCAAAAAGCTCAGCTCTTTCAGGCATGAGTATGTCACACCCATTTCTAGGGTTTACTGAGCTTCACCACAAGTCTGATGTTCCATTTTAGAGAATTCATTTAAGAGTAGCAGACCAAGCATGTATGAGCTAAAGAAAATGAAATTATAAGGTCATTAATTTTTCAAATATGCATAAATACTTACATAACAGTGAAAAAAGAAACAGAGGAATGACTGTCACAGAGACCTTTGGTCTTACAAGTATTTAAATGTTATTTACAGCCTTCAAACTACACGACATCAGTGAAACAGAAAGAATAAAATAGAATATGTATTCATAATACCTACTTTTTTTCAAATTACTAGCAGATGGGAAAAAGAGAATTAAAAAAAACAAATCCCAAACAATTACTTCAGATGCCCTGAGTCTTTTGAACCAGAAAATTCTGTATTCTCCACTCAAAGATATAATGTCTTGCTGGTTTGTGGTTACCACATCAAACATGCAGAAAGAAAACAAGTTGGCCTCATGGCTACAAGCCAGCACAGTCTGGAGAATTTTAGTAGCTCAGGAACAGCAATGAAGTTTTCAGGCACTGACTGGGATCTGAAGAAATGAAACAACTTATGCTTGGTACATCCTTTCACAGGTTCTGCAAAGACCTAGGGTGGATTTCTCTGGTCTTGTTTTAGAAAAATGTGATGAATTGTATCATTTAAGCACTTTTTGTCCCTTTCCATTCACTGTAAAGAAAAGCAGAATTACTCTTATGTCTAAGAATAGAGAAGAAGAATCCTCCATCCCTGGTGGGCACTGGTGTCAGGAAACAACATGTGTTTTAGCTTCTATGCCGAGTTCTAGGAAGTCCAAAACCAGCTCTGATTCCCTGGTGATAACAAAAGGACAACTTCTTCAAACCCAAAAACTCCCCATGGGCATTGCAAAAACTTGCCAGAGGTTGTTCTCCATACCAGCTCTGCTGCTATAACAGCTTTCAAGGAGACAAAACATCTCTGCAGGTCACAGCTGGCTTAATATTTCTCTTCATGGTCTGTATTTTCCAACCATGCTGGTTTTCAAGCCTCACTTAAACTTAGGAATCTTCAGACAGGAAAGTTACATTAACAGCTTGTAGCACCAGATGGATTTGGCTATTTCTAGAGATTGATACTTAAACCTTAACATAATGGAGAAGCATTTTCACATCTTACTCTTGCATTATAGTGAACATTTTCCCTTTTCAAAAAATGAAGAATTAATTCTGTGAGTTATTGGTGGTTTTTTAGTGGGCAATATTATTAATGAAACAGGAGCAATTCAATTCAAAACAGTACGTTAAATAGGCATAATACCACCAGTGTTCCCAAGGAGCAAATGTGCATACCTATGACATTTGGACTTATAAAGCCAACAGTTAATATGAAACACACTCTCAACTAGAGGAAAACCTCGTTTTTTCACTTTTCTACCAAAGGCATGGTCTTTCAAGCGAAAGCAATATCTCTATTGCAATATCGCTATAAACTCAAAACAGTTTCAAGGCAACAGTGGTATAACAAAACAAAGGAAGGAAATTCTCCCTTGTTCTGTTTTAGATAAGGCAGACATATAAAATTATCATACTTACAGACAACAATTCTGTTCATATCTTGCTGAAAATATAATCATTTCAATTTCTTGAAATTGATTTCTTACCTGGACAGCAGGAAGGGAAACAGCCATCACAAGCTTTCCTTGGGCTCGGGAGAACTGGACTTTTGTACTGAGAAGCAGATTGACATTATTACTCTCTGATTCTTTTTCTTTCATACCTTGCACAGTCATAAAGTCATTAATTAACCAGAGACTTGCGTAAACACATATTAGCCAATAAAAGCGATACCTTTTTTGTCACAACCATGAGAGAGGGTTTTGTTCATCCCTGTTGAAATCTCAAGCTACAGGATAACACAGTTGCATTATTTCATATGATGGTCTTCCCTGGTACCTCAAGACATGGATTATTCACTGCATGAACATTTGGCTTCAACCGAACCAGACAATACCACGCTTTGCATGAAAGGCTTATTATGTAAAGCAAGCACAGAAATAAGACTTTGAACTGTTGTGCTTAGGAACATGGTCCAGTGGCAGACTTAGGGCTGCTCCAATGGCCAGACTCAATGATGCTAAAGGTTTTTTCCAATCAAAACCATCCTATGATTCTATGAATTTGTCGACTGGAGGGAGAATTGAACTTCATCTACCCTGTGCAAGATGGTTGGGCTACTGTCTACCTAAACGTGTGCCATCATCCACTTGCTCCCATCTTTTTGATGATTCTCAGATATTGGAATAAACTTTTCTTGGTTCTTTGAAACAAATGGCAAAGGACACTGATAAAGGAGGATGGATTTTATATCCCATTCCTTCTGTGCTGAAGCTGTGAAGTACTAAAGTATTTTCCCTAGGCCTCTGCCTTCATTACTTCCATACTGTGAAGTGTTGTGTGGAAGAGCTAATTGTCTTGATTTCCTCAGGAGCTGATGGAGAAAGACAGGCATCACCAGAGCATGATTCATCCCAGCAGCCTGAACAGGGAACTCCTGACTCAGTTTGAACACAAGAAAGAAGTCTATGGCAGGTGAAGAACCACTGGGGAAACAACGAAGAAGGAAAAAGCATTGTCTGCACTTGCACAAATGGAGTTAGGAAGGTCAGAATTCACCTGAAGTTAAAACTGGTGAAGAACAAGGTACCTTGGCAGCAAGAGGAAGACTCAGAAAAATGTAGGATCATTACCAAAATGGGTGGGAAATTTTCAGGTCAAAGGCTGGGTGTGTTGGTTTTTGTTTGTTTGGGTGGATCGGGTTGTTTTGTTGTTTGTTTTTTTTTTTAATCCAGGTGCATTCTACCCACTGGATTACTTTTTATCCACATGCTCATTGACAGTTTCAGGAAACCCCAGGCAGCATAGAGAGGCAGAATTTCCCTTTACAGAAGCTGAGCAACTCTTCTCCAACAGATTGCTTCTGTCCCTCTGCCAGGACTTGGTTTTAAAGCCACCTCTATAACGCCATTCAGATGAAAGTCAGATGGCTCCGTAGTTTCTAATACCCTATCTAGAGCCTTATTTGTAAACGGAAATTATACAGACAGCCTTACAGTCCTCCAGTGCAAGGTCACCAAGTAAACACTTGGCTGGCAGTTCTGCAATTTCCTTCAGGACTAGCATGTGACACCATGTAATTTTAGTGACTTACTGATACCTTATTTGTCCCAGACCATTCTCAGCTGGTGGAATTTTCACTGTAGTCTTGAACATCCTTTGCAAGATTACCTTGATATTATTGCTTTTCTGGATCTCCAATTTTTTAATGTATATTTGACCTTATGGGCTTTCCTCTTATTCTGATATTCCATTTCTTTTATGCTGATCTTTTCTGTGTGATATGCTTTTAATTTTCCTAATTTTCTTAATTTTCCTAAAATTCAGGGATTTTTTTAGACAAAACATTTATTCTATCTGAGTTGAGGCACACAGCTTATGAGAGCTTGCAAAGCAGTGTGTCTCTTAGAGTCTCTTGGCAGCTTGTGGGCTCCTTCCTTTCTTCCTTGTGCCTTTAACGTTTTATTTGCTTGTTTTTTTCAGGACGTATGACTCACTTTTACATTGTCCTTTTCCTTCAAATGGAATATATGTGTGCTGAACGTACTTGACTTGGTTTTCAACTACAACAATAAATCTAATTGCTTTGTGGTCAGAACATGAGAGCAGGTCACAAGGTAGCATTTCTCCAATTAGATCATGTTCATCAGACATCTGGAGTCTCTCTTTTTTTTTGTTGTTGTAGACTCTTATGATACCCACACTGACTCCAGTGACAGGGTAAACACCTTACTCAAAAAGAGATGCCCTGTCAGACAACCGCTGAAGAGTCATAATCTAAAACTGAATTTCCCTAAACAGACTTCCAGGGTGAGTTGCTGTCTCTCCCCTTTCAGCTAGGTTGCTAAGAAGTAATCTCAATAAATTCTTTTGAGACTTCCCATCTTCACATCTCAGATCCATTTTCTTTATATAAAGAGTGTCAAGGTTTAGGGCTGGGCTGGCCAGTCAGACTAAATGTCTGTCAGATGTTCTCTGTTAAACCCTGTCCCCTTCACAGAAGAAGAGAATGAGAATAAGTGAGACAGACTTTTGGATTAGAAAAGAAACTAAATCAGGTTTAATGAAACTATAAAAATATTATGAAAATAAAATAATGTAAATAGGAAAATCATAAAATATATAGAAATTTATACGGAACCAATAACAAATCCTCTCCCCACCGCCCAAGTGATGATTAAGTCACCAGAAACTCTGTGGAGCAGGGCACTGGAAAAGTCCCAGACCTGACTCAGCAGCAGGTGGGAGCAGGGTTCAGAAACTAGATTCAGGAACACACAGATCAGAATTGAAGGCAATACACAAATGTGTTAGAAGTTCATAGCAAAAATTAATAACCACCTTTTATTTACAGGCCAGGTGTTTCAGGTGTCTGTGACTGAAGGT